TGAGGATAATCTCTTTTTCGCACATGGCCAATATAGGAAGCTTCTGCTCTGGCTTCCCCATCCCGATTTGAACAAATACCCCGCCCGCTGTCAATACATGGAGTCCAGTTTGAGCTGATGACTCTACGCCAGTGCACTCCAGTACAACATCTACACCATTCAGCATATTCATCTCCTTCTTAAATCTTTCTGCTTCTCCTTCCGGCGTTGAGGTCGGATCTGGAACAAACGTGACGCAGTTGGTGAAGCTTTTGGCGAAGTCTATTTTGCTTTTCTGGATATCAGCAACAAAGACATTACTTGAGCCGACGGCTTTTGCCATTGCTGCGACAAGCAGACCAATTGTGCCAGAACCCTGGACAAGTACATTTTGACCTGGCCTTAGTCCAGCAAGCCTCACGGCATGAACAGCAACGCTCAGAGGCTCCACAAGAACAGCTTCCTCGAGGCTCAGGCTGTCAGCGATTTTATGGGAAAAATCTTCCGGAATTTTGAAGAATCGACAGAGATTGCCGTCAGTCGGGGGATGGGCGGCAAACTTCATGTCGGGGCAGACATTATATCTACCTCCCTTGCATTGCTTGCATCGGCGGCAAGGGTAACCGGGCTCGATCGCTACACGATCACCAGGTTTCACCCTCGTAACCGCTAATCCAATAGAATCGACGATCCCAGATGCTTCATGGCCCATGACAAGTGGAGTCTTCTCAGAAACCTTGCCCGCGTGCGAGTACAGATGCACGTCGCTTCCGCAAACTCCGACATAGGCAATACGGATGAGGACATCGTGAGCGTCTTGGATTTCTGGAATGGCTCTTTCCTCGAATCGAACCTTGCCTGGTCCGTATAAGACACACGATATATTATTCTAGAGAGTATGAGAACCTATCATAGGCAGTTCGGTTTGGGGTCATTTTACGCACATCTCGAGCCATTTTCCTCAAGATGTTGGCGTTGTCTGAGGGGAAACCATCCGGCAACGGTACAGTTCACTCGCTGCTATAAGACAAGAGAAGCAACTACCCTTTAAGGCCTATGACAAGAGATTCGCAAGGAGAATTGAGCGAAGATCTTAACGGTCGTTGCCGCTACCCTGTTGTGGTCCTGGCGTGTTATAGACCTTCCTCGCTAGCAAGACGGACCGGACTTGGGCTGCTGCGACTAGTATGGGCCGTTCATGGAGCCTTTTGTGCCAGCGAGCTTTATTCCCGCTTTGTGGGAATAGCAGCCACAATACAATTTTCGGCAGACTGCGATGAAATCCCCGCAAAGAGACAGGTTGTGGAGCGTGTCAGACTTCGTGCACGCTCAAACTGGAGCTAATGACAGAATTGACCCATTTCAAAGAACGGCCTGTCGCAGGTAGTCCGGAACTCGTGACTGTGACCTGCGTGATGCACTCCGATGATCTCCGATCTTTGCTTGCGGAGGAGGAGTGTATGGGATCCATACGGCCCACTCTTTTGTGGACAGAAGGAGTATATAGGGCCAGCACAAGTGCTCTCGGTCTAGACACGGCCCTTGACGACGGAATCGTTTGCCGTCAGTATTGACGATATGTCTTCAGTGCAGACTGAGTCAAGGCTCGCGTATGTGATATCCGGGCTTCTTCTCTTGCAGCCAGCTTCGAAAGAGTCCCCGCTTACTATATTCAAGGTGCTTAGTATGTCGTCAACGGAAGGTGGCGTGTGATCGCCGTCGGCCTCGGTGCGGCCTCTGTTCAAAGAACGACTTCGAATGCCAATATAAACCGAGACAGCATCAGCCAGGCCTGCGAGCAGGGTATGTGTCACAACTAGAGAGGCAGTTACGTATGTCTCCTCACGTTACTGACTTCCCGCTCTGAAAACTGCTAAACCTTCGATTCGATTACAGATTCTGTCGAAGAACGTTTGAGCAGAGTCGAAGCCAGGCTCGATCACAGTGATGACGAGAGATGGAATTCAAATCATCATGCATCAATGGAGCATGTTCCATCTCCCTCCTCTGCAGACGAAAGGCCTTCGATCGAACGGGATGTGCCGGCCGATAATCACCTGCCTAGCGATATTGTAGCAGAATATAGTGTGACAAGAACGAGACAGGAGATCCTGATTCCGGAGCTTGTCAATAGAGTTCTTCATTTTTGGTACAAGAAGTATCAGCCTTGGTTTCCGATCCTCCACGCAACATCATTCGACAAAATCCGTGATCCGGCGGATTTGCAATACGATTTGGTACGGAAGGCGCTTACAACAGTTGTTCTTCTCGACTTGCAAAATCTCTTGCCACAGGAAAGACATCTTGCCGAGCAGTCGCGAGACTATGTCATGCAACATGCGCCAGCTCACTCATCTTTACAAAGCGTTCAAGCTCTTTTGATCGTGTCCATCCACTTTTTTACGGCAGGTCAAATGACACAGTACTGGAGCATCATGGCTATATGCAGAAGGTAAAGTCTGATTTGTAAACTTTGTAGGCTAGTACTGATCCATGTAGATTATCGTTACTCCTTGACCTTGCCTTGACAGCGGCACAGACATCTTGGCCATATGTATCCGGGTTTCGCCAACTGGAAAGATCCATTGAGAGTTCGGCAGTCGAACAAGAAGAACGAATACGTGGTTTCTGGGTCATTGAAATGTTGGATAGCATGTCAACGCTGGGCCTACCCACCTGTTTTCTTCCATTCGAGGTCTTACCTAATGCACGCCTACCTTGTTCCGAGTCCATCTGGGCCCTCCCCGAGCCCATCATTCTGCAATCCGTTTCTACGGCACGACAATTACTCTCTGGATTGTCACTCTGTGTCATTTTGGGCATAGAAGAACTTGGCGTAGTTCATCGCTTTTTGCAAAAGCCGTACGACCTAGGTATTTTGGAACAGAGGTTGGACTGGCAAAGCGAAGCTCAACGACTAGACGAGCGGCTTACGAACTGGCGAGAAGAGTTTGTCGCCGCGCTCTTTCGATTGATCAACGCTGAGAAAGAGCAATTGCCCCGTGGGGAGATGGAGCCTCTGATCACTTTGGCTAATTGTGTCCTTAATACGTAAGTGTTTGGAATCAATTATAGACTAACTAATATGTGAATTCTTCTGACACTTGAAACAGGGCCGTTATTGTGCTAATGCAAAGAATGGCACCTATTCCTAAGGGTATCGAGGGCAATCATGAGGCGGTAAGTATCGCGTTTTGACTGCTTGATAGCGCAATAGCAACACTTTCTAATTGTCTACGACCAGTGGGCATTTGCTTCTAGTCGATGCGTGTACGCCTGCGAAAACATGGCAGCGAAGATCAGACGAATCGCAGAAGATCAGCTAGATGCCCAAAGCCCCCAGCTCATATTCTCCATCTTTGTAGCAGCACGATTCTACCTTGGTTAGTCATGCCTCCTCGCCGAAAGATATCTGCGAAGCTAACACTAAATCAGTGCACTCGAAAGCTCTCGACGCAGATGTCCCCGCCAATCTGCACTCCCTTGCGTTTTATCTTCATTCTTGTGGTAAAAGTCGTCCGCTTGCGCAACGATTCGAAATAATAATACGTACCGCTGTGGCAGAACATCGAAGCCCGATATCGCAATGTGTTCTACCTATCGAGTTCTACGATCTTCGCTTCTCCACTCTTCAAATCGTTGAGTTGCTTCAAGACGCCGCGGAGCGATTAACTCAAGTACAACACGTGCCATCTGGAATGCCTCCTCGAGCAAGAGATGAATTTGAGGTTGTTGCCTGAAAAGGAGAAGCAGAGCGTCCGTACATTTGTTAATCAAAGGCCGCCCACTAAGCGCAGAAGCTTAGCAAACGGATCTTTATACAATGATATATTTTAACCAGCTGAGAAGAAGTCATATTGAGTAGAAGAGTGATTTGTTTCTAATACTGCGGGGAAAGAAGCAAAGGATGCTTGTACACGTGTAAAGTTACTGTCTCGTACTCTTGGACGTTTCTCTCACCTGCTCGGGTTCAAGGTTGGTAGTGGAGTTGCAAATACGGACCGGGTCTAACTTGCCTGAAGTACGGCTTTGAGATGGGCCGTAAACAAGTAATCAGGTAGACAACGACTGTGCCATCCTGGCTCCGTGATCAGCGGTCCGGCTTTAGCTCATCCTCATGTCCACTTTTCCCTCCACACGGCTTGAACACGGCCCGTGAATATGCGTGATCGGCTTCCCCACGGGGAAGCCTTGCGGTTCTCGTAAGTTAAATATAAGGTGCAACGGTTGGTTAATAAGGCGGTTTCTCGACAACTTCTATTCACCTATTGGCACTTTCGCTACACCTCCAAGCTATCAATTTATCAAAGATCACACCTTAAAAGATGAGCTCAAGTTCAAGCCATGATGCAGACCCCTTTTCGGGCCAAGGCCACCGCACCTGGTACCGGACGACCTTTTTCAATGTCTCGGTTGTTGCTTGCTGTGCATTTATTGCTCCCGGTCTATGGGCTGCAATGAACGGTCTTGGAGGTGCTGGCTCGGCTGATCCATATTACGTCAACGCCGCCAACTCTGTTATCTTTTGCCTTCAGGTCGTTGTTTGCATCTTCGGAAGCTCGCTCATTTCAAGAATTGGATTGAAGTGGGCCTTCGCATTTGGAATGGCCGGATTTCCCATCTATGCTGCCAGTGTCTACTGCAACGTAAAGTACGGCAACTCATGGTATCTGATGGTTGCCTGTGTCATTGACGGAATTACATCGGGAATCTTCTGGTTGACAGAGGGTGCCATTGTCCTTGCATACCCAGAAAAGCATCGACGGGGGAAATATCTCGCTTTCTGGCTCGCAAGTCGTATCGTAGGACAGATGGTGGGCGGCTCCGTTACCCTAGGAGTAAATGCCGGCAACAGGGAGCAGGGCCACATCAGTGTCGAGACGTATTTGGTGTTCATCTCAATCCAAGCTCTAGGCCCATTTGTTGCGGCTCTCTTATCACCTCCAGACAAAGTCCAAAGGTCAGATCGGTCACCAGTAGCAATCAGTCTCCCTAAAGGACTCAAATCCGAGTTGAGGATTATGTGGAAGCTACTTTGCCGCAAAGAGATCCTCCTTCTACTCCCGATGATCTTCCAAAGCGTCTTCTCCGAGGCCTTTTTCTCAACATACAATGCCACTTACTTCACAGTTCGGGCTCGTGCCCTAGCTTCCTTGGTCGCCAGCTCTTGCGTGATTGTCTCCAATTTCGGCTTGGGATTCTTCTTGGATTGGCGCAAACCGACATTGAACGCAAGAGCCGTAGGAGCCTTTGTCTTCATCTACGCCTTCGAACTTTCACTGTACATCTACGCGATGATCGTTACAAAAGACTACGAAGGACGGGACACGAAGCCCGTGCTAGATTGGACAGACGACGGTTTTGGCAGAGGAGTCTGCGTTTACATTTTCATGCTCGTCGGCTTCAACCTTATGTACGACTACCTCTACTGGCTTGTTGGAACGGTTAACAAGGATGGTGCCGATCTGATCCGTCTAAGTGCCGTTATTCGAGGCGTGGAGAGTTGCGGCCAGGCCATTTCCTACGGGATCAACTCTATAAACCAGGCCACGTTTCCGCTCTCTGGTGCAGTCGCGGTCAATCTGTCATTCTTTGCGGCTTGCATTATCCCTTCCGCCTTTGTTGTTTTCAAAATTGGTATAATCAATGGTGTAAAAGTTCACGAAATCATGCAAGATGAAAATTCAGGGATGTCCGGAGCGACCGATCCAGAGCAGTCTGTGGAAATCCGCCAAGAGCCTGAGATGAAGTTGGATAAATAGAGCTAGGCCCGTGTAATCTCCAAAGACTTAAGCTTCCAAGACGGATCTAGTCTCGATATCTGGTTGACTTATGGGAACGAGGAGGAGGACCTCTGCTTCCTAACTTTGGAGTAGTAATAGTGCGTAATACAATACCTGCATATAACATATCGCAAGATTTATACTTACATTCATATGTACTACAATTAAGCCAAATACCTACACCATTGGGTTCTGTTAATACCGCTTCATATGTGCTAGTGACTGATGCATGATAGAGTTCAATGATAGGTAGAACCAGTCTCAGATGTACATTGTAAGACAATTCTTTCCAGCCTTAGCCTATTGCTGTGTCTTCTGAACATTTGCCGACCAGGTGCGATTTCGTCTCCCTAACATAGCTCCATCTGTAGCATACAAAAAGACAAATACCATTGAGAATGACGTCAACGGTCTTTGGCCAGTATCTAGGCTTCGTCCTTGTTATCCTTCTCGCAACGCTCGTGGTGGGGTGTGCATCTGGTCCGGGCCGTGTCATGTTATGTAAGGCGCTGCTTCGACCTAAGAGTGCTGCGATCCACAAGGTGTCTCCATCTGACGGCATAAGTCTAGGTGTGACCCGAGGTGGTACAATCCCTACGCCTTTCTTCTCCACCATTTAAATCGAAAATAAAAGAAACAACAAGCAAGGCGATTCGGAATCTTCTACGCGTGTACAGAACTGTTATCTTTAGCGTGTATATTAGTCTTAAGTGGGTTTGAAGTCATAATGAGCAACACTGCTGGCCCTGAATTCCGGGAGGTCAAGGAGCGTCAAGGAGGGCCGCACATTCGATCGGCTGATTTGCTCCGCCTAGTAGGCCGGACAATCGTAGGTAAGCTACGACCTCAGGATTATCTATAAATTCTCACAGTAAATCGACGACCATAAGAACTGAGCATGTTACAGTCACTGGTGCAGCTGGGTTTCTAGGTCTTGAGGTCGCCGAAGCTATATTGGAAGCAGGCGGAGATGTCATTGGTCTTGACATAGTTTCAACACCGCCAGCTGAGCCATGGAGTCAGTTCACAACGCATGCGTCTTCTCTTAGCTAATCCGATATGAACAATTGTCTAGGGCACCTAGAAGAGACCGCCAAGTCCGCTGGTGGTAGAATCAGCTACTACCGCGTCGACCAGACCAAGCCAGAAGAGATTGCCACAACCTTCGCAACCGTTGTACCAACTCTCGCGCACCCAATCCGTGGCCTGGTTGCTGCTGCTGGTGTTTCTGATAACGACCCAGCACATGAGTTCTCGGTGGATAGATTCCGACGTCTTATGGAAATTAATGTTATCGGCACATTCGCTGTTGCCCAAGCTATATCACTGGAGATGAAGAAAGCTGATGTTAGTGGAAGTATGGTGCTAGTAGCCAGCATGAGTGGGACTGTTGCGAACAAGGTAATACGTCAAACCCGAAACTTCCAAAACTATGCTTACAAGCTATGAAAAAAGGGCGTTGATACCGCAGGATACAATACCTCAAAATCAGGGGTGCTGCAACTTGCCAGATCCTTGGCAGCCGAATGGGGATCACGCAAAGGCATGCCTTTGATTCGTGTCAACAGTCTGTCTCCAGGATATATTCGAACAGCTGCAACCGCAGAAGCATTGAAGAAGCCAGGGATGGAGAGCCAGTGGACCGGTGACAACATGCTGTATCGATTAAGTACAGTTGACGAGTTCAGAGGTCCAGTGCTCTTTCTACTCAGCGATGCGAGTAGTTTCATGACTGGGTAACATCACCCCCTTTTCAAAGTCATATGCCTCTATTAACCTCATATTACAGGGCTGATCTCCGTGTGGATGGGGGCCACTGCGCTTGGTAGATGTGCAATTGAATGTCTTCCACGGGTTTGGCATATAAAGATAGAAGTTGTCCAGCTTGGTTCAATAAGAAATGGAGGTACAATGAGAGTTCCAAGGACTCAGAATTGATTACTCTATGTTTAAACCACCTCGGTACATTTCAGTCTATTTTGACGAATATCTTGGGCGTTCAGCTCATCAGTTCCAGTTGCCCTCAGCCATGCCTCATTCTCATCTTCCACAATTCCACTAGCAAGATGACGTTTCGCCAGTCGCCTATGAGCAATCTCGGATGGTACATCTATATACCACAACTCAGATAGCAGATTGGCAGCATCGCTCCACGGGCGCCGATCTAACGCACAGTAGTTACCTTCCAGAAGCACGATTTTATGACTTGTGGTTATCCTATAAGTGCCGTCTACTGGATCTTTGACTGCGTGGTCAAATGAAGGGGCCATAACCTCTTTCATTGGCTTCGAGACCAACTCCCGAACGAGTTGGTAAAACCCTTCAGCGTCATAGGTGAATGCCGCCCCACGACGATGAACCGCATCTTGTTCAGGCGGAAAATCTCTCAAGCGGGCCCGCGAGTAGTGAAACCCATCCATTGGAACATCAATAGCTATATTCGCTCTGAACTCGGGGTGGCGTTGCCGATAAATGTCGTTGGCACGCTGGCATACGTCTTGGGCAAGAGTCGACTTGCCTGAGCCAGGAACACCGGCTATTCCGACAACAATCCGAGACTCGGTGTCACCCGTTCTTAGAGATGCTTGCACAATTTAGTACAAATTCTAAACGAAACGCTCTTTGAAAAGGAGTCTTACAAATTAACTTAAGTGCCAGCCTCTCTACGATCCGCTCGAATGATTCACTTTCACTCTCGGTAATAGTCATATTGAGCGGCGATACGACGATACAGAGAGATTATGGTAATAATGATCGGTATGTAGGTAGAAGTGTACACCAGTAAAGTACGCAGAAGGTGTCTTTCCTTTCTCAAAATCTTATTTGCTCTTTGGGAGGGTTCAGGCTTCCATTCTGTGGCTCAAGTCCTGCCAGAAACTTGTCTGCCTCAAGGTGACGGAGTTTCGACGGCCCGTTAGTTGGGTATGAAAATGCGTTCATCTGTGGGGGGAAAAGAGAGAGGGTGGAAACGAAGGATATGACTCCACATCCTGATGCTTCCCCTGTTCCACCCGCCACAGCTTAGTCTCTAATGAAACTTGGCCAATGGTAGTTGCTTGTAATAACATGCTTGATTCAAAGAGATTTTAAACCTGAATTCATGAAATACAGCATTTGACAAGGTGAAAGAAAGGACCATCGACATGAGTGGTGGTCTTGAGGTACATTTAGTATATCTCACGAAGAGTTATCTATTGACTTCATAGAGCAAGACAGACGCATGTGTAGCACACCCATGACATTTCTATTTTGCGTTAGTTGTATTTCCTGTATTAATTTGAATTGATCAGGCAAGTTCATTATTGTAACCAGCATTACGGCTGCTTGAGCTTACCATTCAGATATTGTTCCTATAGAATCTTCAAAACATGGGCCTTCCTTCCTACTGTATTGTGTATTGCCATACCCATCTCCAAAGTACTAGCCACTAGCGATTTGCATCATGTATCAGGCTATAAACCTATTTCCCCCCGAAGATATAGCTTTCATCTAAATTGTTTCTGATATCATCTCAATGCTCTTCACTTCAGTAAGGCCGGTGAAAAATATATCTGGTGATGATTCCGGTCGTTCCCACGTTAGAAAGAAGACATTTGTGCCATAAGCATCAAATCAGAAATCAAGAGCAATTGACAACTCACTTTGTAGGAATTCTCATACATCTATCTACGTTACATTCAGAACTCAAAAATGTGTGGGTCTTTGATATTGGAAGCGCCTTCACAATCGGCCCTATCTGCTCAACACCATGCTCCAAAAAGAGGTTTCTAGGATTTATGTAATGGCAGATATGATTAGAGTCAACATTGAGATATATTAGAAAGAAACTCCTAGATCAAATTATCGAGTAATATGATGTATTCTTTGCTGTCTTTAGACTGTCTACCGGATGAAGATGTCCGCTTCGTAAACTGAAGCGTATAATACGAGTGTCTTAGTACACATGGTCAGTTGTTTCATTGCGACCTTCTCATCCTTTGAGCTTGGTGTTGTGATGGGTACTCGTTATTTACCTATTGTTTACTTGATGTGTGGCCCACTACAATGCCAATGTGGCACGGGGTGGCACGACACGATTATCTTCGGCAATCATGACTGAATCGAGTAGCTTATCCTTGTTACTATTCTAGATCACGATCCTCATTTTTACTGTTGACGTCAATGAGATTGCTAACAACGGCTATACGGGGCAGGAATGATGCATACTATTATATAAAAGACAGCGTATGCGCTCGAGGAGACATCTCAACAAACAACACAGTCGATAGTCCATTCACCTAGGACGTCTCAAGCGATTCTTCCAAATAGATCTTTCGATAACAACCTAGCCTTTAAGGATGTTTCTAAAGTTCATTTTCACCGGCGCTGCCCTCCTCGGGGGAATGCTGCCTGCCTCTGCTGACACTGGAATGAATTTCTTTTTTTCTTCGAAAGGGTTCAGCACCATCAGTGGCTCTAAGGGTAACGAAGTCAGCCATTCAACAGGGTTTACCATCACGAATAATGACGGAGTTGAGCTCTACAGCAGCGACGCTCCAGGCGGAGGCTCACCTTGTGCCGCGTACGAGGGTACCACGCGTAAGTTGTACATGAACCTATCAATGCCTTAGTCATAGTGTTCATATCAGTGGACTGGATATGAATTTCATTGTTTAAATAGTATCTAACAATTATTGCAGTTACTCTAAAATCTGACTGCATTGTCGACACTATTACACTGAACTGCCAATCCGATCAATACGGTGATATTCAGGCTTGCAAAGCTACATATGCCAACGGGTATGAGTACCCAGGTGGGATTGAGGATGAACAGAGTTTTATTGGCGTCGCAATCACTGATGATTCTGTTTGTGGCGCCTGGGCGGATACTGCTCTAGATTGTACACCAGATACACCTTTTACCCTGGAAGACGCAAGTTGGCCTTCGTCATAGCGAGTGCAGGTTTCTTGGCATACTGGGGGTTACGGTAGGCAACTGCGAAGGTTGAATACTTCAGTAGTGTGACAACACGCCACATATTTGCCTTGTTCATAAAAATAGGTAAACACAATAGCTTTACACCTCAAGTCTCAAAGTTCATCAAGTATCTCTCTTTTCCTAAAGCATCTATGCTAATAAACCTAGACTGTTTTGTAATTTGCGGAAATATGGTTGGATGAATCAAAGGATATGGGATGGAAGGAAATTAGACAAGAGGGAGGCGGATCATAAACCGGGGCGTGACGCATTTAGAAATTTCGAAAGGAGTTGCAACGAGGTAGAATGACTGGGGACTGAAGCTTTGTTCCAGGAGACAGTGCAAGCACAAGTCTCAAATTAAGGCTTTGATTGAGAGAGCTTATAAGTAGGCAACATGGTAAAAGTTGGGTCAGAAATTGGCATACTCGACATCGACAAGGGAATTTCACCATTAGTTTTGAGTCCTCAAATTTTCTTTGAAATATTTCAAACTTCTCCAATTATATAGTCATAAGTCATCACACTGTACAATCTTACATCCAGACGATAAATACAGCCGCAACACCTGCTGCCATGACCAGTGCAGCAGAGACACCTGGAACCGCTGCAGCACCTTCCAAAGGCGTCGGTTGCTGACTGCCAGCTGCCAAATCCTTTGCTCGCAGACATCGGACGGTTGGGAACGCCTTGACGCCATTTCCGTCGTCGTAATAGAAGGTCACTACCGACGGCCATGTCTTCTGCATGACCTCGTCGTATACCGCGCTGGTCTCCGTGGTGTTGGCCGGATGACTGTACGGGAAGAGAACGCTGTACAGCATGACTGAGCCGGCTGCACTCGTCTGGTTATTCAGCGAGTCCTCTAGATCTCCAGCGACTGACCCTGTGAATCGGGCTGTTGAAATATGAATCAGCTTATATTCATGCAAAAGCCGAAGGATAAGGCACAATGCCGACGATTCAGACTCACAAACTGCGTTAGAGATGCCGAAATCGGGGCACTTCTTCGTGTCAATCTCAATATGACTCGGGCACGTCCCGTCATTGGTGAAGTTGACAGCCTTCTGCTCAATGTCGGCGATGCACTCGTCGGACAAGACGCTCGTGCACGTCCCATTGTCCTCCAGAAACGACGCCTGCAGGTCATTGTCGTCAATGTCCCAGAAGTTGCCGCAGATGGTCCAGCCAGAGTCAAAGTCGGCACTCTCGAATGCGTTCTCCGGCGACTTCAAAGACAAGTATGTAGGATTGCCTCTTGTCTCGTTGTTTGTGACATCGTCTACGACCCTGTTTGTGGCTACTGCGATATCTAGACTCCAGCCTTTTTCGTTGCTCTTCGCAGCATCGTATGGTTGCGAGAGGTCGAAGCCGGTTATGGCATATGACCCAGTGGCATTTGGTGGACTCAGATAGTCCGGCAAGTCGCCGCCGCTGCTGGTGCTGTTGCTGCCGGAGGTTGAATTGCTCTGCCGCGCCGAAATGGGCCGTATTAGACGGGATGCCTCGCAGCCAGTGTAGAAAAGGCCGATGCTTAGCACGGTGAACGCCCAGGTTGACACCATTTTGCTTTAGTTGATGGAATTGCGAAACAGACAGGAGACAATTCCGAATTGTTCTAGACGACGAAGGAAAACACACGACACCTTGCATAAAAGCAATTGAAAGAGGCAGCGCAATACATATATAGGATTATGACGTCGAAACCAACTGATCGCGACTCCAGATACAGGCCCCCAGACCTCCACTGTATCTGGGGATGCCTTGGGATGTTATTAGTAAGGATGAGCATGCTGGTTCCTACATTCGCTACAGCACGAATGAGCAACGGCCAAAAGACATCGAGCTGAAAGCCAAGACTCGCTTGGGGTTGCAGCACTGCAGATGGGAACACAGCCCTGATCTATGCTTGGAAGGTGATCTGATCTAAGCCCCCACAACAGACGCGATGGATGCGAAGAGCTCGGATTTAGGGTTGAAACACACTATAGGCTTGTACGTGTAAATCAAATCGCGAATTACATCACGGCAGTAGCCAGCCAGAAGCAGCCCATTATTATCGTTTGTAGTAGCTAGGCACCGAGATTCTTCTACTCTGGCGCCCCCAAGCTCAGCACGTCCAATCCGTCCTTCAGTTGGGACTTTGTGGGCATCTTGCCCAATGCCATCAGCTCTGCGCTCTGCGTCATGGCAGGATCCACGCCCATGCTTGCCATGGCGACTACCGTCTCGCCCTTCGTGTAGAACGCCGCCCATTTGCTCTCCTCCAAACTACCCTGGATCACGACGTCGTCGTAGTCACCGACCGTGTTACCACAATACCGCAGTTGAGCGGTCAAGGCGCTCCAGAACACAGGCGTGAAGAACTCGGCCTGCTTGGTGGGTGCGACAATGTGTCCCGCGACTGTACGACCTGCATTTTGAGCAACGTTCCAGTGCTCAATGCGAGTAAACCGTCCATCACCGCCAGGCCCGTGATACGGGTATGTGGCAATGTCACCAATGGCATAGACGTCCTTCAGACCAACCACAGAGAAATTCTCGTCCGTCTTGAGAGAGCCGTCCTTCTCGAGCTTGACGATACTGTTCTCACGCAAATACTCGGTAGCAGGGGCAACGCCAACGCCGAGAATGACGAGATCTGCCTCAAGCTTTGTCCCATCCTTCAAGGTGACGAACCCGACATTAGACGGATCGGAGGTCGAGGGTTCAGCCTTGTCAACCGATGCATCCATGTAGAACTTGACACCGTTCTTCTCAAGACCTTTCCGCAGCGCAGCACCGACTTGCTTGCCAAGAACTCGCTCGAGCGGTGTTGATTCCATGCCAATGATGGTGACATCGTTCTCCTTCGCAGTGGCATTGGCGACCTCCATTCCGATGAAGGAGGAGCCTACGATGACAATCTTCTTGCCTTTCTCGCCAATCGCACCGGTAATCTTCTGCACGTCATGAACATTTCGCAGCGTGAAGATGTTGCCTAAGACCTTGAATCCCTGCAGCGGCAAGACGCGAGCAGTGCCGCCAGTTGCCAGAATCAGCTTTGTGTACGCGACCTTCTCTCCCTTCTTCGTGGCGACCTTCTTGCTCGCAAAGTCCACGGACGTGACCTCATCGTCGAAGATCTCCACGCTGCCGCTCTCGAACCACGCCTTGTCCCGCCATTCAATCTTACTAGGGTCGGCAATCAGTGCCTTGGACAGCTTCGTCCGGTCGATGGGCAGGTAGCCCTCGTTTGAGATCATGGCGATGGGGCCGGTGAAGCCCTTCTCCCGCAAGCCCTCGATCGCTCCAATGGCACCCGATCCGCCACCCACCACGACCACCTTCTCGCCCTGTGCACCGCCCTGTGCCTTGCACTTGAAATTGGGCTTCCGCCGGCCGGCCTTGATTGTTGCTTCGTCGCCTGTGAGGTAGAAGGAGCCGTCGCGCTCGGCGACTTTGAATACGGGGAGTGCGTCGAGGGCGGGTGCATTTTCGATGTCGCCAGTCTTTCCGTTGAAGCATGCTGGAAAATTAGGGAGATTAGCTCAAGAAGATATACGAGACACATGAAGGAGTCGACGCACCGCCATGCCAGGGACATGTCAAGCGCCCGGTGGTAGTCAGGACGCCTTTGACTAACGGAGCACCGTAATGTGTGCATTTCGGGCCGACGGCCTGAACCTTTCCACCGGCATTGAGAAGCAGGACCTTGGTGTCGTCGAGACCCTCGAGCTCGACTTCCTGCTTGTCACCGGGCTTGAGGTCGAGTGAGGTGACGCCCTTGATCTTGTACTCGGACGACATAGCCGAGGTCGTAATAAACGGGCGGACTTGCCTTGGTCTGGCGAGGGATGTGGGATATGAGGATGCTAATGACGATGGCTTGTTTTGTATTGATCTAGCTATGGCTATACAGCGGAGTGATGAAGCTGTTCTGGGGAGGAGATGCATGAAGCACAGAGGATTGAAGGCTATGGATGAACGAGAAGAGGAGAGACACACGGGGGGATTAACAATTATTAAGACAGGCAGCCTGGTAGGCGCAGTACAGTAGAGGTATATTGGGTATCTTGGGTATAGTGTCTATGGGGGCTTATCAGTGCCAAACCTAACTGTAGGAACACCTGGACTGTGAGTAGTAAGCCGTCTACGAGACTGATGAGGGGCTAACAAGTGTTAGAGCGTGTTTGAGTCGATGTTGCAATCGTCGGCAATGCTCCGTCTTGCTGAGGATGGTGGAGGGCGAGGTGCATCGTGCTGTAATACCCTCGCTGTGAGTGGTCGGAGCTGCAGCACACCCGCTGGACTAATGACGCCCATGATGACCCTAGTAGAGTGGTCTGCCCCGCCATCGCCAGCTATCAGCACCCGTTTGCCCTGACAGTCCAGTGGCTCCAGTGCATACCATAGTAATGGTGGGGGTAACGGCACTAGACGGCGGC